TTATATTACTCATAATGAATATGATAATAATATTGAGAGCTATCATAATCATGCTGATGTTAATGAAAACGATTTTAAATGACAATTAAATGTTGATGATTATTATTATGATGATGTTTATTTTCCTGATAATGCGTAATCATTATTTAAATATTTATGGCGATATTTTCTTTAATAATTATCATGATGATTATCAGCTAGAGTCTCAGTATATCTCCTAGTCACTGACACCCGACAAACGTCCTCTTATTGCTGTCAAGCGTAAAGTGTCAAAAAATAATAATTGGATCTCCCTTTATTTAACAAAATTTAATTTGAATTTTATTATAGCTTTTTTTCGGAGAATGATTCATGGGCTTTACATATTTTTTTATGGGATTGTAATCCTATTATGGCAAAACATGAAAATATGACCAAAATCCAGAGAAAAACATTAAACAAAAACTCGGATTATAAAACAATTATTTTTATTGTTATTCGAGCTGTTTGGAAATGTACGATCACGATTAACTGACTTACCTATATGTACATTTGGTTTTTAAAGTGGAACACGCATGTTCCGACTCAAATGTATATATCTGTGTGTATGAATATATGATTCATGGTACGATGACAAAAGGTGCGGCAACAAGAATTGAGAAGAACAACAACAAATGGAACAACAACAACAACCACAATATAAACATGCATGCGAAATATTTAAATTTCAATGCAATCGAAATTTGTATACACTTTAATATACATTCACAGATGTATAAATACATGTATATGTGTGTAAATACAATTTAAATATATTTTATTTGCCTTTTCGAGAACAAGTTTTTAATTATTTACTCAAATAAATTTTAAACCAGTTTCCATATAAGAAGTGTATATTTTAGTGTTGTTTCTAGAAAATGCAGCAAAACACATATCAGAATCAATATTCCTCGCTCTATAGGGCAGACATAAAAAAAAAAAAATTCAAATATATACAAAGAAGAAGAAAAAACCAAACAGAAAAAAGTTTTTGCACATGGCTTTAGTTTATATATTTTATTTATTTTGTGCGCAGCAGTTGCTTTTCTTTATGCGTACTTTTAACAACAACAAAAACAGAGAGAAAACAAAAACAAGCAAGCCACAGTGAAGCAATGAACGACTGGCAGACACCCCGCAACTCACTTGTGGTTTAGTGAGACTGATTAGAGCAGAAAAATGATATCTTAAATAGTGTCTTTATATATATGAATATATTTTAATTCATTAGCAACAATAAATAATTTTTTTTTTTAATTTTTTAATGGAAGTAAGAGGTTTAATAAGAGTAAGAGGTAAGATCAAGCATTTCTAATACTCCTTTTAATGAGTATTAAGTATACCCCATTATAAGAATTCGATCAATACAGTTGTCAACTCACATTTATCGCTTAAATTGGCAGTATACCCCATTGTAGGCATTGCCAATTTGTACAGGGTATATAAAGAATAAATGAGAAAAAACAAACTTCCTTTTTGGCGGCGCTTGTTAAAAATGCCAAAAAAAAGCCAAAAATGAAGCGAAAGAACAGCAGCCGCAAAACGAAAGCTAAAAAAATAAAAAGAGTATATATGTATATATATATATCGGAATATATATAAATACATATAAATAAGAAGTGTACGAAAAGGCGAAAAAAATTAACAACCTCAAAATGGCAGCGAAGTGTGCATAAATTTTTGAAATGACTGAAAGAGCCGAAAAAAATTAAATAAATAAAGATACAAAAAATGTAGAGAGACAGAGAGAGAAAGAGGCAGGGAGACATGGTGAGTTAGAGAGGGGTAGATATAGAAAACGAACCAACCTAATGAAATGCAATCAAAAATGCATTTTAAAAGAAGTCTGCATTAAGTCGGGAGCTGCTGCTACATGGCACCAGGTATATATATAAATATATATACATATATACCTGGCCGTATCTGGCGCGCAGATCAGACGAAAAAGAAGCTGAAGAAGATGGGAAAGAAGCAGATCCACAAGCAGCAGCAGCAGCAGCAGAAGAAGTTGTTCAAATTTATTTAAGCATATTGCCGACAAAAATAAAATAAATTCAAGCGTTTGCCTTTTGCTTGCCCGCCACAATTTACATTTGTCATTTCGATGCACAGTGGTACGAAATTGAAATTTTTAGAGAAATACATTAATTTAGAATTTCAAATATTTGAAAAAGCAGGGCTGCCAAATGAAGCAGTTAAATTAATACGATATGTGTGGTCGATATGTGTGACCAGGGCTGCAAAATGTAGCAATAAGAACTAAACATTTGTTCAGCACCAGTTCAGGCGAACTATAAACTTATCGAAGCTATCATAGTTTACAATTAAAAAAAAAAAAAACGTGTAGCTTATTGAATTTTTAATTCACAATTCATTTCAAAGTAAGCTATAGGAATCAAGTGATATTTCAGCTCATAAATTGATTATATGTATATAAAAGCAATCATTCTGAACCACTGTGCTGTCAACGCTGTCTTCGTCAAAAGGAAAAACGAAGCAACGAAGCTGAAGCTAAAATATTTGTTCTTAATTTAAAGAGAACCTTTATTCTTCTGATTGATTGAACGGCTGATTTAAGCGGCTTTTTCTTCTCAGCTTTAGGTCCTGTTCAAGGGGCCCGGTGAGTGCACAAGGTGCGTTGAGGTGTTAACTTGACTTAAATGTCGGTACCGTTATAATGCTAATTGAAGTCTTATAAATTGTTCAACATTTTCTTTTGGCTGCTTCCTTCTTTCTTTTGCTTTTTTCATTTCGCAAAAGACTCGTCAGTTTTTTTTTTATGTGCATTGATTTTTGCAATTAACGCCTAATTAGCTGCCAGCGTACACAGACCCTCCAAATACTCTGAGTTTCGCATAATATTTAGTAGTTGGCAGTCCATGAAATCCATTCGCATCGCCACTCAAAGTGTCAAGTGCGTTTGCCTAGGGACACGGACTGAAGCTACGATTTCCCACATAGAACTAGTCGACACTCTGTGGCTCTGTTTGAGTAGGTCTCTTATTCATCATCATCATTRTCATTATTTGTTTATGAACGTACTTAACAGTTTTTGCGACGCACTTTTTTGACTACCTGGCCCAACTCTCTTTCTCTTTCACTCCTTTTGGCCACACACTCACTTCAACAATATTTTCAATTGTTTAAAAATTCTGCGTGCGTGAGTTGATTTTTTTTTATACTTTACTTTGCATTGTTGTATTTTTTGGGTTATTGCTTTTTGTATGAATTTTTAACTGCCTTTTTTTGGCGTTACATTTTAAATTAAGTGTTTATTTAAGGCTGGGTCCCAATAGGGAATTGTATTGTTTACTTACTTATTGTTTACTTTAGTTGAAGTTGGCATTTGTTGGATTGTTAGCTGCAAAATCAACGAAAAGTTTCAGACGATTAGAGAAATTGATGAGTAATATACTCTAATAGAAAACATATATAATTTTGTGTAATATAGTGTATAGTTAATAAAATATGTAAATATGTCAAGAAAGTTCATGAGTTTTGAAAAGTAAATAGACCTATTGATTCTGTAGAACTATGATTAAGCTAAGAATTATTTATATTTGGATTCGTTGGCCTGGTGCTAAATAAATTTTCTAGGAACTCAAAATGAAATTGATAATTTGTTGTGCTTTCTGGCTTTTGACCTTCTATGGAATCATAGTTACAAGAGTTTAAATTATTTATTTCTGCACTTGCTGCTCTCATTTAAATGAAACCATAGATATACAAAATACTTAAGTGCCCTGTTAAATAGTTTACGTTTGCTTTTCCAGCCCTGGCATTAAATGAATTCAATTTGAGTCGCTAGGGCTGGTAGCTCTGCTTTCTAATTGTCTTAACATTGAATCCTTAGCTAGACTTTTAAGTCATTTTCCTTGTTGTAAGCAGCCCTGGCTCTAAATTAATTTATTAAAAAAAAAAACTCCTTTAACAACATCAGCAAACGCAATTTAAGTAGTTAGCTATATTAAGCACAACTTATTTTTAGGGCTTCTTCAGATTTCTAAATATGTAGTGCATATATGTATGTATGTATGTATGTATGGTCCCTCCATCTTAATTAACTGCTTGTTTCGCAGAGCAGCGTCATTTAAATGCAAAATGCTGGCCATAAAATAAAAAACACCAAACAGCAACAACAACAACAACAGTAAAAAGCACTACAAACTGCACGTTTAGTTGGCTCATAACAATTACAGCAAAAGTGATTAACAGCTATAAAAAGCCAACGACAACAAGAATCAACAACAACAGCAACAACAACAACAACAACAAGCTGAGCTGATCAGCAAAACAAGTTCGTCGCTTGCATTGCGTGTGAAAACAATTTATGAACGAGCATTTAAACAATTTTTTGCATTGCAACAAAAATAATATTGCAATAAAGAACGCATTACAAGGGGGCAAAGTGTACAATGAATGCAAATGTTGTCTACATCAGCAGCAGCAACAACAACTGAAATCGATGTGCACGAGCAACAACAATGGCTGCACGCCAGCAACAACTACAAATGACGACAACAGCTACAACTACTATAACAACAACAACAACAATAAGCTATATAAAAATAAAAGATAAATGAGCGCAAATGTCTGTCAGTTTGTCTGTTCGTCTGTTTCTCTCGCTCTGCCATATGCGTGTGAGCAGTGTGTGTGTGAGTGAGTGTGTTTGTGTCTGTAACAAAAGCAACAGCACAACTCGCATTGCATTGAGATAGGTCAGTCACATACAAAAACTCACACACACATATACACACACGAAGAGTCTCACAAATGCAACGGTGCACTCGCTGCCAAAGCTTTACACATGCAGTTAACGCAGCAGCGCTGCCGCAGCGACGCCGACGTCAGCGCCAACGGCAACGTCAACTGCTCTAATTACTCTGGTCGTAAATCGTTGCTAGGGGTGGCCCAGCTGCATCGTTCTCTGCCTCCAGCTTCTGCTCTGTTGCCAAGCGTTGCATCAACAACAACAATAACAACAACAATAAACACAGCCGTAACAACAACAACTAGCTTAACATTAAACAAGTTTTTGAGTTAATCTCAGTCTCAATTTCAGTTTCAGCCGCAGACGCTGCGGCCGCTGGTTCAGCCTCAGTCGCTGCCGCTGCTGCTGCTGCTGCCTCAATGTAAAAACTTACACAATCGCCGCATAGCGCACGCACACCAATGCAAAAGCATCTGTGACTCTGAGCTTCCCGCTCAACGATTCACTTTTCTTTGTGCAATTCCAATAATTTAGCCAGAGAGAGCATCAGCAAGAGAGGAAGAGAGAGAGAGAGAGAGAGAGAGTGACTACGCACACAGCAGCAGCGCAAAGAGAGCGTGAGCATAAGAAATCCAAAAAAAAGCTTCAATGCAGTCACCGGTAGCAGCGCAGTCGCCAACTTGCACTTTCTGCTGCACTTTTCGTCTGTTGGCGAAGCAAACACAGAAATAGTAGTAGATTTTTCAAGTCAGCCAATATGAAATAACAGAAATCGAGACATGCGTAGAAAATGCTGATAATACACTCTGAAAAAGCTTTTGCCACTGCCTGCTAGGTGCGGTGCCTAGTCAAGTTCTGTTATATTTTTTTCGCCTGGGACCTACGACAACAAAATAAATAGTGCGCCGAAAAGCTAACGACGCAATTAAAGCGGCAAACGCCCTACACAGCTTTGCAACCCCCTAAAAAAGCTTGAAAGCTTGTGCTATCTCACGCACACATACGTACATACAGGAGAAAAGAGGGCGTCACATTACATGATACACAACATAAGGAATATTGCGCAATTGCCAAAAATACAAAATACCAGACAATTGTCTAGACAGCACCACAGCAGGTGGTCTAAGCGGGAGAGAGAGACAGGCAGACAGAGAGGGAGAGCGAGTGAGGCAGATGAGTTGTAGACGGGCTTGGCATTATGAGCTCTTGCTCTTGCACTCAATAAACGTTAATGATCATTAAGGCGCTTGGCCATTTGCTTTTATTGTGACATAATTAGTGAAAGTGAAATTGATCAGCAAAATGCAGCAGTTGCGCCGTGCTGCGCTGCGACTGCGACTGCGGCGCTGTGCATAGACGCAAAAGCAGCGCAGCGTGACGCCGGCGCCAGCGTCGACGTTAGCGCATTGAGAGAGTGCGCCGCAGCGAAATGAAAATGAAATTAAAATTCGAAATGAAAATGAAAATATTGCAAAACTTAACACGCACACACACACACACGCACAGACAGGCAACAGGCTCGAGTAATGCATTTGTGTGAGAAAGTGCATTGACTTGGGACGAGCCTACCTTGACAACGTGTGTGTATGTGTGTGATTGATTGAATGGGTGTGTGTGTGTGTGTGGCTAACAACCCACATTTACAGTGAGGCCAATTTGTATGATTTCAAATGCTGCATTTTGTTGCTGTTTATTCATTGTTGAGCGCAAATGGCAAAAGTGCTTTAAATACTGCTTGCTATATATAGACAGCTATGGAATATATATACATACACACATATATAGTTATTTATAGCTTGGCTATGCACATATGCGTTTCACATTTCCCATAATAAATTTTGGCTGTTATTAAATATGCATAAAAGTTAAATTTTATATGGAAATGTTGGGTTTCGTTGTTTGCTTCTCTTGAAATACGATTTAAGTACTATATGTATAGCTGTGGCTGTAATTTAAATGGCGTGCCAACCGCACCCCCGTACGTACGTACATATATAATTAGATGGGCGTCTGCCAACTTGGCGTATGCGCAATATTTGTCCAAATCACGTATACGCCACTTGTGCCGAATGCAATTGGCATAATTTGCGAGCAACTACTACATAAATATTAGCAAATAATGCAAGTAAAACACATGCATGCGCTTGATTTGCGGCTCATTGTGCCGCTGCAACAATGTGGCAAGCGCAAATTGTGGCAAATTGTCAACGAGACAAGAATATGCACTCAAAGGCGAAAACTAGTTTAGTAGGAATTATTCTTATATATATCTCCCTTGTATCGAGTTACGTGGCAGTCAATTGAATAAATAGCGAGTGGGCGATGGGCGGTGGGTGAAGGATGTACGGGTGACTGCAGTGGGGTTTACTTGTGCAAAATGTGTGTTAAATTGATTGAGCGTCGTTGAGCGATTTACGAGCTTAAGCAGCAGTCGCAGCCGCAGCAGCAACATCAAAATGCCATAAATTAATGCACAAACATAAAACAAGTCTACTTAAAAATTGCATTTCGTATATAATTTTCACAAAAAAAAAAAAAAAAAAAAAAAAAACAACAAAAATGAAACAAGACGATTCCGCACCAGATACAAAGACGAGCCCCGTCTTTTCGCCTCTTCGACTGCCTGCCTGCCTGCCTGGCTGAGTATGAAAAGCGAAAACTGGGTCAACCTGATGCAGCTGCCTACGCAGCGTCGTCGCCGTTGCCGTCTTCGCCGCTGCTGCTGTTGCTGCTGCTGCTCKCTGTCGCTGTCTATCCGGCAGACGCAGACGCTACAAATATGTAACTCAAGAGATATGCAAGCCAAAATTGTATCTGTATTTGCAAAACACAAAAATCCGTCCAAAAACAAATCAACTTAAGGTGCAAGGGTATTCGCAACGAAAAGATACCCTATAAAATGCTTGTAATTATTGTGCTACCTCACTTAGCCATTAGCTAGAGGTACGTAAAGGACTTTCAAGCTCTTAAATTTGATTCTGCTACTGTCTAGCCAAGTTTGTTATACCTACTCAAATACACTTTACAGGGTATTACAGCTTAAAAAACGAAAATTCGCATACAAAAATATATTATAAATCATTTGTAGGCGCGTTGGAAAAGTAAAAACAGCAGCAGCAAATGCGATGCCAAAAATCATATATGTATCTCGTATCTCTTGGATTTCACCCACGCTGCTGTTGATTCAACAACAACAACAACAACAGCAGCAGCAGCAACAGCCCACAGTGTAGCAACAACAACGTGGGTCAAGTTACAACTTGTTTTTTGATTCGGTTTTTCGTGCGGAATGCATTCGCCATTGCGTTTTAGTAATCGCATTCAATTGCTTATCAGCAGAAGACACGCGACAATAACAACAACAACAACGACAACAACAACATTGTGTGCAAATGATAACAACAAATCACGACACTGCTTGCCTGCCTATTTGCATTTGCCCCACTGTGCGAGTCTGCCAAGTCGTGATGCCGATTCCGATTCCGCCTCGCACAAACGTTCACTTTCAAAATCAGTGAAATGTAACCGACGTACAAGCAAAAGGTAGTGAATTGATGTTGCATTGTTGCTGTTGTTGTTGTTGCTGTTGTTGCTGTTCTCTCACTGTTTTTTATACCCTGAACCCATTGAAAATGGGAAATCAGGGTATAATGGTTTTGTGAAAAAGTATGTAACGGGCAGAAGGAATCATCGCAGACCCCATAAAGTATATATATTCTTGATCAGCACGACGAGCTGAGTCAATATAGCCCTGTCCGTCTGTCCGTCCGTCCGTCCGTCCGTCCGTCCGTCCGTATGAGCAAAAGNGTAAAAGTACTAGTACTAGTACTTTTCAAGTACTAGAGACTTGTGCTTTGGAATGTACACATATTTTAACCATATGATTACGCTCTGAAAGTTTCATTAAGATCGTATGTCTACAAAAGAAATTATTCAACAAATAAATTCTCATATTATTGCCCACATTGCAGCGCAGCCCAAGCGCAGTCGCTGCTAACTGCGCAGTCAGCAGAGCACGTGCTTATAAGTGCATGTGTATGTATGTGTGCATAAAAGAAGTCCAGACTGATTAGAATATCAGCTTGGAGGGTTCAGGGTATCTCCTAGTCGAGCAGTCTCGACTGGAGCCTTCTTACTTGTTTTTTTATGCTTTAGCTATACACATTATTCATTTGGCTTACAAATAGAGGTTAACTTATAGGGATGCAATTATAATTAAATGGGACAAAAGCTGCAACTTTTAAAAATACCTGACTAGAGATGAGACATATTTGATTACTTATGTTATTTTATGCCCACAGCCATCGATAAATGACATTTTGGGAACTTTGGTATTGGCGCTGCCACCTGGTTCGACAGCTTAGCGATGTTCTAAATGATTAGAGATGTGATCGACTTACAGGAACTAGTTCGTTGGCTCTCAGTTGTTAAGCAGCTGCATGCATTGTTAGAGGCTAAAACTGGTGTGATTTAAACAAGTTTCGCTTTAATAACAAAGTTGCTAGAATGTGCAATTTAAATCGAAGAGCTTTATTGTCTTTAGCCCTACCGCAATGCGAATAAACAGCAGCAGCAGCGGCAGCTCTCAATGTCAGGCATGTTATTGAACCAATAACACAGAGATCCCATTCACATGTAGATACATAAATACATATGTACATATATATGTGTGCATATGTGTCTGTGCAATATCAATAAATACTTGCATGTATCTTTGTGTTGTATGCAGCAGATAAAAACTTCAAGTGCAGAGAAAACTGCAAGCGGCCTTCAATGCTGATCTGACATTGAAGTGCTTCTGCATGGCGTATGCATAAAGATACATTTGTATCTTTGTAGCTGTGTGGGTGCTGCTGCCGATGCTGCTGTTGCTGCTTGGCGTTGACATAATTCATCAATGTGTATGCAAATCGGCAGGCAAACGCTTTTCTTGCCAATTAACGTTAAATGCCAAATAAGTCAGCGACTGCGGCAGTCGATGACGCGCTTGCGCTTGCTGCGCTTGCATTCCGCGCAAGTTTCTTACCATAAGTAGCAGTTGTAGTGGTATATGTTAGTGTGTGTGTGCTTGGAGTGCGTGTCTGTGGCACTTCATGCTGCAACAAACGGCAAACTGCACTTGACTTACTTGCCACAGTCAAGCTATCTCACTCGCTCCCCCACTCTCTCTAGCACTATTTCTCTCTCCCTCTCTATCACTGTCAATATCTCTCTCTCTCTTTCTCTGTCTTTCTTTCTCTGTATATGTGTGTACTATCTGGTAACTGGCATCGCGCTGCCATCTGCGCAATGCATTTCACTTTCATTATGATGCAGTCGCCGCGTTTTTGCCACTAAAAATGGCAACGAGCGTTGGTTTTTCCAAGCCCAAAATGAAAACCAGTTAACGGCACACGGATTTTCCCATTTGCCATCTCTCTCGCTCTCACTTTGCCTCTTGGCTGCCTTGTCTGATTGGCATCAGCTGACAGCTGCGCCCCGGCTGCTCACCTGGCTGCTCACCTGGCTGTCTCACCTGGTGTGTAGGAGGCGTCTCTGCCTTTGTCTTCTCATTGTGTTTTGTTAGTTGTTTTTACTTTCTTCTAATAGATCGTTAGCTTTGCTTTGAACTTGCAGCCCGAGTCGCATTTGTTGCTGTTGTTGTTGTTGTTGTTATTGTTGTTGTTATTTGCAATTGATTGCTTATTGTTAAATGAAAATGGAAAGTCATTTGCTTGCAGCTGCCTCCTTTTCGTATACACCCTCCGCTTGGCTCGGTCCGGCCCTGCCCTGCCCTGCCCCTGCCCCTGACTTTTCTTCCCCTCCACCAACTACACTTTCCCGAAAATAATTCACGGAATTTGTGTCTCAATTGTAAATTAGAGAGCGGGGTCAAGCATTTGGGCATTTCATTGCTTCAAATTCTTGAATGAGGCTCGTTTTTACTTTTATTGATCAGCCAGCTGAGCAAACGGAAAGCGAAAGTAATTACTGTTAGTCATGCAATCATCAAGAACCCCGCTCCAACCCCCTATATTTGTGCATGCGAGCATTCAATGTGCGCCGTTTCTTTCTAGATAAGTTCCCATTCAGTGTTTGTCTATGTGCGTGTGTGTGTGTGCATGTGTGTGCACTGCCAGAAACGAGCAATAAAGCCGAATGCAACCCCAAAGTGCAGTCCAGACTTTCTCACAGTGTATTTGTTGTAGCTGCCCCTGTAAGTCGCCTCCGCCCGCACGCAACAACAGAATCAATTTTTATTGGTTACACAACGACGTCAGCGCCAGTGGCGAGTGCATTGAACCCAACGACTCATGACTTTTAGTACTTCTTCGTATACTCTAAATACTCTATAGCTGTCGCTGGGCATATTAGCTCAGTGTAAAAGCTGGCAGTTATCAGACTTGATATAAGCGATTCTTATAGGGAAATCTAGCTCATCTCTGAATAGAAGCTCCTTAAATATCGCACTTGTTGACAGTGCTGCCAGACTGTGCAGAGTTCCTTACGAACTTTGCTTTATAGATTTTCAGTAGCGTTGCCAGACTGTGCCAAGCCATATAGCTTCACTGCAGTAAAAAACTCCTGCCTTGCTTTTCATATAAATGAGATGGACTTTAAAGAGTATTTAAAACTCTGCATGCCTAGTTGATATACTCAGTCTTCCTTTTTTATGTTTCCCCTTTTTTTTTATTATTTTTTCCCTATAAGCTGCTTTGTTTTTGTTGCTCTAAGTAAATAGCCAATGCATTTTATTGATATGCTCCAACATAGGCGTCTCTCTATATAGACATTGGGGATATTCTATAGACAGACGCATTAAGACTTCTTCAGGTTTGAGCCTTAGGTCTACATTGAAAGTGTTTCAATTGGAGCAACAACAACTTTTCTGCCTGTGTCTTATCTGCCAATCACAATATATTATATAGGCATATATTCCATTTATTTTATGTTCCATGCATCTCAGACTTTCTTATCAGAGGAATGGCCTCAGAGAGACCTCACAGCATAATCTGTGGACTTTTTCGAAATCAGAAATTAGCAGTTGGAACATAAATCACGATTCACAATTCCACAATTCCGATTTAAGTAAATAGTCACGGCTCTTCTATATCTATTTGCACTTTATTATTATCGTCGAGCATATGAATTCGTTGAATATCGTTTATTAGAAACGCCAGCTGCCTTGCACGCCGCCACCGAAATTATTGCGATTCTGGTCGAAGTTTCTATTGGCATTGGCGTAGGCATCGATTCTGCCACGCCCATCTCGACTGGTATAGAGATTGTGATTGTATTGAACGCCCGCCTGGCGGCCTGACTGATCCTTGCTGGCCGTCACCACCACCGAACCACGCTGAGGCGTACGTTCGCTACGAATTATCCGGACTCTTGGAGAGCCGGGTCCTGCTTCGGGAAAGTCCAATCGAGCAGTCACCAGAGCTGCCAGGCAACTGACCAGCAGCAGCAGAGTCAAACACCTCTTAAAAGCCATCTTCGCTGAAGTTGAGAATACTTTGAATTGCAGAATTCAACTGTGCTCAGATGTGGCCAGAGATGGGTCTTTTATAGTCCAGCGTGGACAAGTGGGATTCACTTTTGACTGAACTGTTGTTCTCGCTTGACCTACGAGCGGTACTTTTTTCTGAGACCATGTAGAGTCCCGTCTATGTTCTTATCAACGAATGGTTTGGATTGTAATATATATTGTTTATATATATTTTGTAATTTACGCTTTGTTAAAGATGATTTAAGGACAGGAATATTTCTGCTCTGGATTTAACCTCTTTTCTCGATATTCACAATTTCTTGTGATTATTAAATTTTTGCAAGATATCTTAAATTTTTAAATGTTTTATTTATCCATATTTATTTCAAAGTAAAAATTTGTTATTTACATTAAATTTTTATAGCTTCCTCGACCACACACGCCTCTTCCAATAACATCTAACACTTTCTGACACATTTACAGTGCTTGTGCGACCTCTTGACCCCATTTCACAATCAAATCTGAGCGCTATCAGCGCAATTAAATAGATTTTAAAAGCACTTTTCAGTTATAGGCGGATTTGTCATAACTTTTCTTTTCTAAACGCATTCCCGCATGGCCTACGCAACATTGCTTTTGCGATAAGGCACGCACAAAAAAAGATAGAAATAGAAATGAAAATAAACGAAAATTAAATAGGTCTAAAACAAAGAGCCAATAAAACTAAGCAGCATAAAAAAAAAAAAGAATTTAGTTCAGTCGAGTTCATTGACACACAAAAAGAAATCAAAATATTATAGACGGTGAGCGCCCACACAATCTTGCCTCCCTTCTGCGCCCCGCCCCCTGCACACGCACTTTTCGGAGAGACTGTGCAGAAAGAGAACTTTTACTTATCGATGTCTAATGATGATAGCAAACGTCATAGATATGTGGGTGCGTGAGTGTGTGTGTGTGTGTATGCGAGTGCGTGTGGTCAGGCATAGGATGTTGCCCTGAACTTGAATTTGGCTTTTGTGAAAGTAAACTGCAAGTTCTCATGGACGAGCGCGGATTTCTAATCAGTTTGATTTCATTGTAGTTTATTTTTGGGGCTTTTTCTCCATTTCCATTTGTGAGCGCAATTAGATGTGCGTACTTGAAGGCATTTGGCTACTGGCTTCATCGATTTGAATGCGAAAGTCTTTGACTTTTGTGTTCATAGATCATTTGCGGGTGAAAGTTTTTATTTCAGCTCACGAGCACACAGATACACTCACACACGCACACACACACACTGCCACACACTCACACACTTAGTTGAGTGGGTTTCATTTACTTTTATTATACGAGCTCTGGATCAGCTTATCTATTGAATATCAAGTTATGCATTTGAATATCGTTTTGTCACCTGTGGCTATTTATCTTCGCGCTGCGTGCGCTTTGTATTTTGATTTTTGTTTCTTTAATTCTTTTTTATAAGCCCACGGGGCGTATACTCTACACAGAGAAAGAGAGAGAGAGAGAGAGAAAGGGAGAGGGAGGGAGAGCTTCACAATACCTGTCTATGTATTTCTCTTCGAGCTGCCAACGAACCTATCGAAATAGAAAATCGACACGTGTTGCCAAGTTTGCCGAGTCATAATTAAATTTTTATAAGCCTGCTCAAGCTGGAGGCGCGCTCGACTCGAGGCAACCTTTTCTTAAAGCCCATTCACACACACACACACACACACACACACACACAGAAGCACAAACACAGCCACATTCATTGACGCGCACTGAATGAAATGCTCGCTACTTGGGTGCTTAACCGTGTCTATATATATTTATATATATATGTATATATCCACCTATATCTATATTTTTATATATATGCTATATACATGCTTTGATGTCTGATCYATGAAAAATGCGTGGCGCACGCATGCCTTCAATATAAATTATATATATTACAGTCATCTACGTGTCGCTAGCTACATTTTGTCTTCATATTGCTGAAGATTTATTTTTTGGCAAAAATAATATGACGACAAAAAATTATTTCGTTATTGTCGAAAAGTCGTGAATAAAGCAGCCACGCCTCTGTTCTCTCGTTCTCTCTCTCTCTGTCTCAGTATCTGTCTCTCTTTCACTCACTATCGCTCACCCTTTCTTTTGCTCTCTTTCTCTCTTTCTGTATAGCACTCTTTGGCTGTCTTTATTATTTGCTTTTCAAGTTCGTCAACTAATAGCAAAACATGAAAATGCAAAAACGAGCGACTAAAAAATAAATTAAGACAGACATTGAATGCTCTTTCTTAAGTGTTCTAGGTGCGTATTGCACAATAGATCTTAGTTAAATTTATATCGAGAATACATGTAAGAAAAGTTAGTTAAAGTCTTTAAAGACTCTAAATGGATAAATGTGGATAAGATATAATAAATATAAACTATTACCAAATAAATATTTTTTTAATAATATATATAATAAAGTCAGCTCATAGCTCATATGCCTATCCTTAGAATATCTGGAAAAAAAACCCGCTAAGTCGTTTGAATACGTATAAATTAGGAATAAGAAAAAAAATAACAAAAACAACAACAACAACAATGAAAGAGCATAGCGCACGCACAAATAACAAAAAAATGTTGTTATTCTTTATTTTTTTAGCACGAAAGTTTTTGTTTTTATTTTTTGAATAGATCGTAGAAATTCATGGAAGTCAGAAAGAAACAGCAAGAGCTTTTGACATTTGCCAGAGAGTTCTGCGAGCAGCAGTTGGAGCTGGGAGCTGGTAGCTGGAGCTGGAAATGGAGATGGAGATGAAGACGATGGAGCATGGAACAGCAGCCGGATCAAGAGGAAGGCTGTGTGGCACATTGAAATGCCGGTTGTTGCAGATGTTGTTGTTGTTGTTGCTGTTGTTGTTGTAGCTGTTGTTGTTGCTGTTGTGTTTGCCTTTAAGTCAAGTTCAAGGACTGTCAATTAAATTGAAATCACTTGCTAAAGACGCGATGCGAGCAAAACAAGATACAGATGCGTGTGACTGTGAGCAGACGAGTGGCAGAAAGAGAGGGGGAACGAGAGAGAGAGAGAGGGAGAGGGAGAGAAGGGCAGTTGTGGCTGTGGAGGGTGTGGCAGTTATCGATGGGCTGCCGAGCTGCTCGTCTTGTGGCATATTTTGAAATCACTTAGAGCACGCAATACACACATAAATAAGTGTGTGTGAGCACTAGTGTGTGTGTGTGTGTGCATGTTTTTCTGTAGTTCCTTTAGCACGCAGCCTCATCCATACATTGTTGCTATCTTAGCTGATGCCGACAAGTGCTGCGTAGTTTCAGCTTTGCAATTGCCATGAAATTAACCAGGGCTGCAAAACTATGTGGAAATGAAACGAATTGAAAATGGATCAAGATAGAGCAGAATGTGACAAGCCTGGGAATCGAAGCTGTTCTGATAAGTGGGTGAATGAGTCCGAATCATAAATAAACATTTGAAGTGTTATGGCTTTGTTGTCAAGTGCTTAAATGCAACTTTTACAGATCTTTCATATTAATATTATGGTATATAACTCTCAATTTCCCTCAATAGCTTTTCTTGTAACAAAACACGCCCCACGAGCTTAGAAAAAAACAGAACAACAACAACAACAAGCAGCTGCATAAAAAGCATCGAATTGGAAGCGTGTTTCGGGGCCAACTTTCAGTTTTCAAATCGAATCGAGGTTTTCGCATATATCGCATCGCGTCTGTGAGACGATAAAGTTTGGTCATAGCTTGCGGCATTCTGATACGCTTTTAAACAAATGCATAATTAATGCCGCATTTTATGATCTCCGCTTTGGTATTTTTATTCACAAATTAACATATTACCACGACATCATGCATAATTTAGTTTGTTTCATTTCCATTTTTGGGGGCTGCCGCTGCCGCTGCCTCTGCCTCTGCCCCTGCCACTGCCGCAAGGCCCACAGAGTTTTCAATGCACGTGCTCGCTAAATACTCAACTAAAATTTAGTTTTATTTATTTTCCATTATAAATTGAGACAAAATGTTTTTTAATGTTGTCGAGTAAAATGTCTTAAATAGTTTATAAATAGCAAATGGAAAGGAAGCGGCCGGCTAGCCAAGCGGAAATTCGCAGCATTTGTCACGCACAAATACAGAAAGAAATGGAGAACAGAGAGAGAGGGAGAGTACTCTATCTCTCTCTTTCTCTCTCTGGCGTTCTATAAGGGCCAGTTAATATGTTTTGCCAATAAAGCCATTTCGCTGCGTTTCCAAACTCAATTTAAAGTTGTTGTTGTCTTTGTTCGCGTTGTTGTTGTTGTTGTCGCTTTTGTTTCTTTTTATTTATTTAGAATTTTGTTTTTGTATGCCAAGAATTTAAATTAGTAGTAAATCTGGTTTTTATTCATTCGATTTCGTGTTTCGCGTCTGCTGCTCAATTCTCGATTTTGTTGCTTTAGCTCTTTTCTGCGACGTTATTACAGGTGGAATTTCGGGGCTCAAATGTTGTTGTTGCTCTTGCCTGGCTCTCAGCAAAAGCCAAGTCGACTCTGGCTGGCAATGGCCAAAAAACAAAAGTAATTTCATTTATATAAAAGTAATTTCTAGTTTTTGTGTTGGGCAAATGCCGAGTTATATTATTTATGCTAGACATCAGCTAGACTGAAATATTGCAGTAGCCTGAAGACTACAAAAATTTCTCTATTTAAAAAAAAAATATAAAAAAATGGCCATATAATAATGAGATAGATTTGTATGCAGCGTATATGTTCCATAAACAATTACGTTTACTTTCTCCCAAAAGAAAAAAATAATAATAATTCATTTAACGTTTGTTTACCAAGAAGGGAATACAATCGAGGACAATTTTTCGGGCTAGACGAGAGTCCTTTGA